CGGGAAATCCGACTCCAGCTGTTCTCAAGGTCATCCAGCTGTGTAAACAATGACTCGTTGGTGTTAAATTTCACAGAAAGGCGAGACAAAGGAAAATAAAATTTGAAGCTTTTTCTTCAAAATTAACGCGTTTCTTTCTTTTTTTTTTTTTTTTTTCAGTTTTAAGTATTTTTTATGCTTAATTACATTATAATTAAAAACAGGTGGGCATTAAGAGGTTAATTAATAACTAAAGCTTATAGAACTACAGCAAATGCGAGCTTACAATTGCTTGCTTGTAAGCCTCCTATTGATAAGTATATTAATTATTTACAAAAACTTTGCAAAATAAAAAGGGGAGATTCCCCTGCCTCTCAGTCTGAGCACTTTATAGAGGAATCATGGGAAGAAAATATACCCTTTCAACATACTTTAAGCCCTTACACTAACAACAGGTACATTGAAACTTCTCCTACTAGTTGTGCCATTACTATATTTACTGATAGCTCTAAGTACAAAAATAATGTTGGGGCCAGTTTTGTTGCTTACCGCAATGAAATAGAAATTTACTGTGAATCATTCCGACTTGGCCCTCTTTGTAGTATATTCCAGGCTGAACTTTATGCTATTTTGCAGGCGGTTGTTTGGTGTGAACGGGTTATTAACAATACTCAAATCATGATAATAACTGACTCTCTTTCCTCACTTAACGCAATTAAAAAATTATCTGATCATCCACTGGCCTTTTTTATCCAACGTATATTAGTTGATTCTGAATAACGATTATTACTTTAAATGGATATGCTCACATAGTGAAGTTCGGGGTAACGATCAAGCAGATCATCTAGCCAAGACAGCTGCTGTTGACCAGAATATTGTCGTCAGTTACAACAAGATCTCTACAAAGGTACTGAAAGAGATACTTTGTCAAGATATGCTTATGGACTGGCAACGTGATTGGGATGATAACATATCTATTACTAAGCAATTTTTCCCCAATATTTAAAAATTTTTGCATAATACTTGGATCTTAGTTACTAATCATACTGTACAATTCTACACTGGCCATGGCCGTTTTAATTCTTATCTTAGTCGTTTTACGTCACATAATAACAAACTTTGTCCTGTATGTGGAATTAATGATAGCAGCTATCACTATATTTTTGAATGCCCCATGACTGAAACTGAAAGGCATCACTTGCGCACTTTCCTGAATAGTAATAATCGTCCTTGGCCTTGTGAAATTCATGACCTCACTTCTGACAAGGAAACTCATGACCTACTTTTTCAATTAATTGAAAAATATTTTCAGGTCACTACTATATCTTGAGTTCTGCCTCCATTATGTATTTACATTGGTATTACTATGTTTTAGAATGGCTTTATTTTCTTACCCGCTCTGTTTGTTTATTCTTCTGCATTGTAATAGATTATGTATTTAGTGTGCTTTATGTCGTCACTGTTAAATCTGAAGATCTTTTGTGGTCAAATCGTAATTTGACATATATTTAATCTTGGCTATAACCCCAATCCACCAATATCACTTTGTAGCGCTGGAAGTGTCTCTCATTTTATTTTAAGGATTTCACTGTGGTTAGACATGCTGTGTCTTCATATTTAGCATGAAGTTTCCACATTGTTTTCAGTGGATACCTGGTTATCTGTGTTTCACATCGGCTCATGATAGAACTGCTCTTCAAATGTGCATGTGCTCAATATTATCCGTGGCTCTGGTTTTCTGCGATTATGGTTATCTGCATTACACTGCTATAGTGGTTGGGAGAAAACCTACCTTCTGCTACTTTGTTCTACTTTGTATTTATCTGTATTTTTGTATTTATCTATGATGCATACAAAACTTTTGTGACATGACAGTAACTTTTTCCTGTCATCTTGCTCTTTCATAATGTGCATGCAAAACTTTAGTGGTGTTTGTAATGTATACTTGTGATTATCTACTGTAATTTCATTGCAATTTCATTGCAATTCTTATTGTACCATTGTAATACCATTGCGATATTTATAGTATTTATTGTTACATAGGTGTTTAACCAACTATGATATCATTATATCCTGAATATATCTTTTAATATTTTCTTTTCAACTCTCTTTTTTGTGTACGATACCGGTGTCACAGGTTTTATATTAATTGTAATTAATTATGTTCAATTCTGCTGTACTACATGTTATATTTTAATTGTAAAAGTTGCTCTGGCAGCAATTATATATAATTGATATTTTGTATTTTAAATACTGTTATCTGTACGTTACTTTTGTTAATTTTATTGCATTTATCTATTCCCTCTCCATTCACTGTACAACTGATACATATGACTGTTCTGTAACGTAATTATTGTAAATGTGTAATTTCTGTATGTAACACCTGATTATGCTATGCGACATCAGGCATATAACAAAAGTTATGTTAATAAACTTAATGGAAAAATGGAAATATGACAGGAAGACAGGAGTTGCGACGGGCAGTATGAGTCTGGTGTTTCCTGATGTTCGCTCGGCTGTCCACCTGGAGGTGCAAGTGCGACCCCTTTTTATACATGTCCCAGAGGGGGAATCATTGGGGAAAAATCTGATGCAATAGCCTTTGTGGCTAAAGTTGTTTACGTTAATCGAACAGTTCTTTTGATTTATTATGTTTTTCTACCCGTTATTGTGACACTTTCCCCTCATAAATTTGACAACAGCTGTCAGATTTCTTAAATGAATTGCCACAGGTGGCTAAGATCAGAACATCTGAGGGCCACCAGGGTGACGATTGTGTTGACCTTTTTTTACTCTTTATCATGTAACAGGTGGAGGTTTCTGTTAATTGGTTACTTATTTGTCCAGTGCAGTGAAGGTGGAACTGGGTAATCCCCTGTCATGAGGGGAGAATCTCCTCGGTTGTCCTAAATGCCTTTGGAAGCTAGAAGGTCACCTTTCAAAGTGACGCAGTACTCTGATGAGTCAAAAGGTCTAGCTTCAACGAAACTGGAGGAAAAAGGGAAATAATGATAAAAATAAAAATGACCGAAGCTTCAAAATTCACACAAGTGTGGGAATTCTCACACTGGGAGGTTTGTGTATTAGGGTGATTGATGCCATTAAATTTTGGTGGTTAAAGGTCAAGGGGTGGGGAAATAAAAGAGGGTTGTATGCCATATCTCCAGTATGGTCAGACTTAATAACAATTTTACTCATTAGCATTTACAATTTTTTATAAAACCTGTTTCTACCCTCAAAATTAAGTTTTTTGCCATTTTATAATAATTAAAAATATAAAAATTTCAAAAAATAAAATATTATAACAGATAGTGTCACAAGCAGTTTTAAATTTTGCTGGGAAAGTTAAGCAACTCATTGCTAGACGTTTTTGTTATGACACTAAACTTTACCTTCAGTTATCTTATTCTAATTTCAAAATGTTTTCAACCTTTTTGAGGTCATCTTCATAGAATAGAATTCTAAAAAGAATGCCAACTTTTCTGTGGCACATTATGTTAGACTTGATGTTGCTTGTTGGAGATAACTGGTTAGACTTGCATAACTGATTATATAGCAAAGAAACAAAGAATACACAAAGATTACACTGTCTTGACTTATGAAAGGTCAGTGCTGAAAAAACAAGAGAGTGAAATGAGGTCACATTCACCAACAGCTCCCAGAGGGGTTAACAATGTCACCAACCTTTTATTACATAACAGAAAATGTTTACAAAACATTACCATGACACAATGCGTTGTACGTAACAATGTCATTTAGCATTTAACAATAATTGTTTATTCCAATACATTATAGTTTTGTGGATCCCAGGCAAATTTGAATTAGGGGGTTTCATATTTGGTATTGACTTCAGACATTTTTCTTTGGGAAATATTTTCTTATAAAAGGTTTGTTTGGGGTCCCTGCTTATGAGGATCCCAGTCATTTGCCCTTTTTGCCCATAGGGATAACTCACCACTGAGGCCTTTAAGGTTATATTTTTATTGTGATGAAAAAGACAAAAGTTTTGAATCTTAGATTAGTTAATTTTAATTAAACTTAAAAAAAATATTTTATGACTGCAATATATTATTGTTATATATACTGTATTTTATGCAAAAAAGAGCGTGCTCTTATATGTGAAAATTGCTTGTTTTTGAAATACACATCCTGCTTCACATATAAGAACATGCTTTTATATGTGCAGAAATACTGTGTATAGTTAACAAACCTCCACATTAGATGGCCATTCACTGCCCCTGTTCAAAAAATGACATTAAAAAGGTGGAAGCTGCTTATATGAAGCTTTTGAAACCATATTTATATGTCATATTTATTTAAACATAGCAATGAAATTTGGGTATTAGAAGAAAACTAAAAATAAACAATATAGTTAGTAACTTCAAATCACATCAAATAAAATGGAAAACCACTTAATTGGGTTGGATAGCAACCATTTACTGAAATTAACCATTGAATGTAAACCTTGTAGAAAGAGGGGTACAAGTCATACTAAAGGTAGGAGGGGAAATCAAGATCAAATTTTTGAGTTCGGATAGAATAGATTCTGATATCTAAACAATAATCATTTATTATGATGATGCGTAGAACATATCCTAAGACCTAAAGTAGAATTGATAATGATAATAATTTGTTTGATTTCGATTTCATAATACACTTTATTATGAATTAGGTAAAGATAAAACCAATAAATTATATTATTTAAATTACATAACAAATTTCAATCCTACAGAATGCTGTTCTTGGTGGGAAGAGAGAAGATCATGTTGTATCACATAAGATCACACTCTGCACTTGCAGTGCCTCCTGCCTGTAATTATTCACTGACATTGTATGAATTTTAAGTCTCAACAAACAGTAATTATAGTAGCATTTTATATCAACTGATAAGATAGCAAAGAATATAGTTACTGGTTTAAATAGAGAATAAATTGATTTCTTTTAGTATCATAATCAAAAATAAAATTTTTTATTTGAATTTAAATTTTAAAATTGTTAATCAATATTTCATTTTTTTATAGGTTTAAATCAAGATAAATGGCATAATGTGAGACTTAAAATAAATCCTGCAACAGCTGATTTATATTTATCTGTGGATAATATAAACATGAATATAACATTACCATCTTTAATTGCAAATCCTAACTATAATCTTAATCATTCTGTTTCAAATTCTTTTTTATATTTTGGAGGTAAGATTTTTTACATCAGTTAATTAATTATTTAAAATAAAAATAAAATTTATTCTAGAAATTTATATTTTATTTACTAATTAATTAATTTAATTTAATTAATGTTTATTAATGTAATAGGCAATAGCCTGTTACAAGGGGGATTATATACAATTTCTCAACTTTACATAAATTAACTTTTCAGTGAACATTTGCCTTCCGTCTATTACAATCGGGGTGGTTGGATTTCACAATTTCTTCATTATCAACACAAATTTAGTTCTACATATATTTATATTCTAACTTATACATCACATCTAGTATGTTCCTTTTTACACCTGTTTTAAAACACTTCAAATTTATTCAATATTCTGCATACAATATCTCGTTTTTGCATTACAAAGATCTTATTTGTTTTTATTAATTTTAGATTTATGATAGCTACTTTTACTTAGTAGATTAAATAAGTCTTGTTTCTTCATTTTTGCTTTACTAAATACTATAGCCAAGAATTTATTAACTATTAGCTTTGACTGTCACTTCAAATTATCATCCAGGTTTCCGTAAAACCAATTATAATAATAGTATCTATGAATTCCTTTAGTAAGACTTTATAATTTTTCCGCAAAGACCCTATATTCTCCAAAACCCTATTGGACAAAAATTTTTTGTCTTTATTACTCTCATATTTTTACTACCATTACCTTACTACCATTTTTTCCTTTACTTTTACTTTACTATCTTCCAGTTTTACAAAGGTTTTATTATACTTTTTTACTAAATTTCTTTTCATATTATTTAAAAACATTTTGTATATTTCAGTTTTTATGTTTGAAAATAATGTATCTGTTGATAAATTTCATTTTTTCTTGACTATTTAATGAAATTTGTTCAAAAACTTAACAAATTAGATAAATAATAGCTTGACTCTGTTTAAATAGACAATCTTTATTTACTTCATCCTTCTTATAATCATGTGATCAATAATTATATATTTATTGATTATCCTATTAATGCTACTTTTTGAACATCAGGAGTTGTTTCAAATTCTCTAATGAAAATGTCACTAAGTTTTTTGTTTGAAAGAATTAAGAGTTATGGTTTAACACGGGTGTCCAGCCCGTGGGCCGCATGCGGCCCGAGGCAAGTTCCAATGCGGCCCAATAAACGTGTAAACAAAACCGACAAATGTTTTAATTTTTTTATTATTTATTTATTTCAACGGCATAAACTCAAAAAAGAAGTTTCACAAAGCCGTAAACCTTTATTCATATTTTATTTTTGAGTGGAAAGGAAATATTTTCAAATACTTGGAGATGTGTGAATAAGAAAGAATTACTAAATAAAGCTGCAGTTGTGACTCAAAGGATTAGAGACCCAAATTTGGGGAAAGGCGAGAAAGGCCAAAAGATAAAAAGTAGTGAGAAAGGTTAAATAGATCTTCTGTTATGCAAATATTGATGTTACTGTGAATAACCGATATCTGGCGAATGTCAACATTCTCCGGTGAATGTCAACATTCACACAGTCGTTTCGTGTATGTACAAAATATTTGCTAGATATTGTTATTTCTCACTTACGCCGGCAAATGTCAACATTCAGCATGCACTGATGGTGAATGTTGAATAAAAATATTTTTATTACATTAAGACAAAAATGCAACATTTTAATATGTCAAAATAGGAGAAAGCTTAAGTAACAGCACATTTAAATAAACTGTTGAACCTAAAACGAACAGAACATTCTTAATCATTAAAGAAAATAATACAATAATAAACTTACACACAAATTATGTGATCATTGTTATACAATCTTATTTATTGCAACAATTTAAACTGTTATGGCACTTTGAATTGCACAAGAGTACCTTGCTTTTACAACTGCATTTATTCGTGGAACACTTTTTTTGTTTTTTTTTTTTTTTCAATGACAGCATGTATAGCCTTGCCCTCCACTTTTCAAATTAGCTGCAGCTGATTCTCTCGGTGATATTTCTTGAGAAGAAATCTCATCTATAGAAAGTAACTTTTCTTTACAAGTTACAAACTGATTATGTTATTACGTGATTACGAACTGATCTGTTAATGGTGTCTTTTATTCGGATATTGCCGACGCCTTACTGACGACCTCTTTCATCCTCTGCCACTCGACCTGACAAACTGATCCCCACCTCACGGGATCGAAAGTCCTTGTCCTACCTCCGGCCACCCACAAAGGATTTGGCAACAGACTGTCGCCTCTCTGTCGACATCGGCTTCTCGGGTGTCGTTTCAACCTCCAAGAAAGCTTATCTGTGCTTGTCGACATACACTGGCGATTGTTCAAATGTATAATAATATAACCAAATATTCAGACTTTCACCAACTATTTTGTGTATTTTGTATTATTCGGACATTCATTGGAGAATATCGACATTCTCTAATTTCGGTCTTTCACAGTAACATTGATTCTTAATTTTCCAACCTTTCTCACTTCTTTATCTTTTGTCCTTTCTTTTTTTTTCCTCGCATTTGGGTCTATAATCCTTTGAGTTACAACTCCAGCTTTATTTATTATTCCTTCCAGCATTGCAAGATTTGGCTACATTTCACCAAATGTGGCTACTTTTTTTAGTTTGATGTAAAAAATATCATTTGTCGCTTTGCCTACTTTTTGGGCTACATATTATTCATAAATATATTAGTTGAATAAAAATGCACTTTAAAATAGTGTTTTGTCACTTTTTATTAATTAGAGACCCAAATAAAACAAATATTTGTGTTTTTCAAATAAATTTTCATTTGTCTCTTTATATTTATAATAAATGAATTTAAAAATTGAAAGTGTCTGTAAAAGTAATATTCTAAAATATTCTTTTTTGTGATAAAGTTTTAATACTTATAATTATAATCTAGACATGTTAGTTTTTAAATATACTTGTATATTGGGCCACAAGTATATATTATATAAACTTGTGGCCCAAAACTCCTTGACTTCTTCCAATGCAGCCCAGAGAAACGAAAAGGTTGGACACCCTGGTTTAACACACAAATATACTAGCTAGAAGTTAGAAATGTAAAAATAGAACACATTAGTATTTTACTTATATACATACCTTTTTCAAAAAACCAAGCAGATTTTGCTGTATTCATAATTTTAATAAAAATAGCAACACATTGTGACACACTACTAACTTTTGATTGACCAGAATTAAAACAAAAAGACTATTTACAGTATCTGTACAGGTCTGGACAAATACAATCTTGCTCCAGTAAAATATTCTGTTCGATGAACTTTCCTGGACAAGACCAGACCAAGACTTGAATGTTATTCATAGTTAGTGTTGCCACCAGGCTGGTTTTCACCTGGACAAGCCAGTTTTCAGATTCATGGTCCGGATTAATTATTAATTTATCCAGTTTTCATAGAAATTGTGAAATTATGATGAAACAAAATAAATTTATAAAAATATTTGCGAGTATTTTATTTTAACAGTTAAAGACTTTAACTTTACACTCCCACCCAAACTTTCTTACTCACATCTTATCCCTAGGCTAAGAGTACTACTTAGAGTACTAGGCTAAGAGTACTAGTAAGAGGACAGAAAATGTACTTTTACAATTCTAACTTGCAAATATCTCTGGCAAATATTAGGTTTGTTTCAACACAAGTCCCTAACTGGTTTAAAACTGGCATGCGCATTGTTCAATTTTTGACTGTAAAATAACATTGCGCATGCCTTGTACGGTTTCAAATTTAAACCAGTTAGGGACTTGTGTTGGAACAAACCTATTGTAAAGCAAATGTGACAGTTTCAGTTTACAAGTTTATAATTTCTATTTTAATTATTTAATATGACAATTCAAGAAATTGGAAACTCAAAAAGGAATCAAACTTGTAAATTTAATAAAGATAGGCTAACACAAAAATTTCAAAAATGGTTATGACCTGTTCGAGACAGTGTTGCCACCTTTCCAAAATTGCTAACCTTGTCCAGGTCAGCAATTTTGAAAAGGTGGCAACACTACCATAGTGTAATTACATACATTGTATACAATTGATAAGTATTTGACAGGTCCACAAGCAGCTCAATAATGTATATTGAGCCTTAAAAATTCCCTTTAGTCTCCCATTTACTTCCACATCTCTTTAAACCCTTTTGATCCAGAAAGAATTATAAAAATGATCATTTTAATTTTAATAAATTTTTATTTTTGATTATCAATATTTGATTATCAATATTTATCACTATTTGATTATCAATATTTTAATACTGTATATTAATTATTATAAATTAAATTATTGATAAGATTATTAAAAATATTTTTTGTATAATTTTCAATATTTTATAATAGGTACAAATGCTTATAATCCTATTTTAAATCGTCAATATAATTATGTCAGATTTGTTGGCTGTCTTGGTAATATAACATTTGGACATTCTGATAATTCTATGGAACCTGTCACAATTGAATCATTTTATCAGACTGAAGAAGGATGCAATAACCGATGCAAAAATGAAGATTGGTGTCTTCATGGTGGAAGGTGTGTCAACCAGTACAAACGTACAGTTTGCGATTGTTTTGGTACGGGACACGAAGGACCCATCTGCCAAAATAATAGTATGTATTATCTAATATGGTAAAATTCAACAAATTTATAGTTTAATTGATACTTTTATCTTATAATTAAAATAATTCAAATGCAGTTTATTTAGGAATTTGTGATATTTTTATGCAGTAAAACATAAAACTGGTTAAAACAAATAACCTATCAGAACACAGCAAAATGAAAAGGTCTTATCTCATCAGGACAACTCAATTATTCAAATATGTTTTATTAATATGGGAATGAATTTTAGGTACACAGCCATTTAAAGATTAGACAAATGGCAGTAAACACAGTTTAGAGACTGATATAAATAACACATTGCACTGTGTGATAAAATCCAAATGAGGAGACGACTAATTTGGTAACATTAACAATTACTTTATTAGTAACACACACATACATAGTTAAAAGGAGAAGAAAAAGAGCTTTGGAAAGCCCACTAATCTATATAGAGTGCTCTCTGGCAGCTCAAACTTTACAATACTTAACACCACCCCTCAATTTCAAAAGGTTTACATTATGAAATTGCATTAGTTATGCATTACACAATCTGATGTCTTGAATGTTTTCTAAGACAAATGAATCTCTTTGAACACAATGGTTTAGTAAAAGTATCTGCTATGTTATCACTCAAGGAAACATAGCCTAAAGTCAAAAGATTTTTGGCTACTAGGTCTTTAATGAAGTGTGCCCTTATATCAATATGTTTTGACCTTTTGCTATTTTCATAGCTTTCAATCATGCTGATGGCACTTTGATTATCCATGTTCATGACTGTTACAATTTTTCTTCCAGAGTTTAATTCCGACATTATTCCTTGAAGGTTGACAAGTTCAGCGGCAGTTGCTGCAGATGCTAGATATTCTGACTTTGCTGTGGATAGTGTGATAGTGAATTGTTGTTTTTTGGATGACCAGGATATAAGATTATTATTGTGAAAAATTGCATAACTACTTATGCTTTTCCTGTCATTTTTGTCTCCTGCCTAGTATGCATCTGAGAATGCAATCAGCTTTTCATCTGTGCAAACTGAATAGTTTAAGGTTAGGTCTTTTGTCTGTTTGTTTGAGGTATCTTAGTATTCTCTTTCCTGCCATCCAAAGTGCTCCAGTGGGTTTATCAAGATGTCTACTCAAATAGGAAACAGCAAACACAATGTCTGGACAAGTAGTGTGCGCAATGTACAATAAGCTTCCCACTAATTCTCTGAATGGAACTCTCAAACTTTCTTCTGAAAGATCAGCCTGAAATCCATGTTCCATTGGAGTTAAAACACCTTTGCATTCCTTCATTTTGAATTTTATTAAGTTTTTCGATGATACTTTCTTGTGATAATGATAATGTATTTTTGTGCATAATGATGTGTATTCCTAGAAAGTTCTCTGGCTCTCCCATTAATTTTGCACTAAATTCTGTTCTTAAGTTGCTTATTAGCTTATCAGCTTCTCCAAATAACAAAATATCATCTACAAAAAGAATCAAATGTATACTATCTAACACAAAACGACTTCTAACAACTCAACACTTCGTTGAGTAATAACAATCCATGAAAAACCTTTTGTACAAGTGTTATGTCTTTAACTACCTCCACATGGAGGTAGTTAAAGACAACACTTGTACAAAAAGGTTTTTTGTGGATTGTATACTATCTCCATTATATAAGCAAAAATCATAGTTTGAACGAGTTAGTCCATTTTTGACAGCAAAGTTATTAAAACACTTGTTCCAACATCGAGATGCTTCTCTCAATCCATATAATGCTCTTTTTAATTTTAAACCTTTACTGTTTGTTATTAGACCTTGTGGAGGTTTTGTGGTGTTCATGTGGTTGAAATAGTACGATCCACGAATGAAACACACAGAAAGGAACATTGCGACAGTTACAATAATAATTACTTTCCTTTATTTCAATACGAACAGGTTCGGTTTTATCAGGAATCCCAACTGTATGATGTATGAAATCTTTACAATGCAAGGGGATATCAACAGAAAACCTTTCAGTTTTACAATAATTCATGGTATGATGTCCTCCTAGCGCATAACAGTTAATATTTTATATTCGCGTAACTAAATCTAACTTAATCCTAACTTAAGGCTAACTTAATACTAAGGAAATGACAAGGAAGACAGGACAGCGGGAAGGTAAAAGAAAGAGAGAACTTCACCTGGGCCTTTCCTTTTATGTTCTGATGTGTCTGCGCTTTGGATAGGATTTTCTGTCAACAACGATGGTTTTTGCTTCCACTATGTTCTTGACTCTATTTGCTTTCCGGAAGGCCTTCAACATGCCAGTCACCGGATCTCTAATTGTGGAGATTCTACTTCCTTGGGCTCTCCCCAATCTATCTCAAGGAGTTTGTAGGCCTTATGATCTGACCGTGGTTCCTCCTCAGTCCGTTACTTGACTTCTTGAAGAATTCCTTTGTTCTTTGCTATGAAGTCATGTTTGGAGCTCCCTTCGACATGTCTAGCTCTCTCCGTGTCTCGTTCAATACTGCCTTTCCCTCTCTTGCTACTTTTCCACCGTCCCTGCTACAACTAAAGTTCTTTTCGATTCTCAGAACGGCTAATCCTACATGCTATTGTTCTTTCCGATTCTCAGAACAGCTAATTCCACCCAAAGGCTATAACTGTCATTTGGAAGGTTCTAGAAGGAGCAGACAAAGGAAATAGAAGAAATAGGGAAAGAAGATTGGAATTATAACTACGAGGTCTGTTCAAAAAGTATCGGACTTTTATTTTTTCCACGTAAACCAATGATGTGCGGGAGGCCTCTTTCGGTGGAGTTGTGGAGGGGACAGTCATGCACAGCCCTGAATTTTTTCCCGCCTGCAGGAAGCATCAGTCGTTGGCAATCGGCCTATGAGTGACTCCTTTAGTGGAGTTGTGGAGGGGACAGTCATGCACAGCCCTGAATTTTTTCCCGCCTGCAGGAAGCATCAGTCATTGGCAGTCGGCCTATGAGTGAGGTCATGTAGCGAGCTCTTGTCGGATTCCACTAAGTTGGAAAATGACTGAACAACGTGAGCAGCGATATTACATCAAATTTTGCCAAAAACCTTGGCGATACCCGAGCGTAAACCATTCGCAAGATTCAGCAGGCTTTCAGGGACGATCCTCGAGGCCAAAAAAGGCGCAGCAGGCCCGCAGCAATATCAAGGTCATGTTGACAGTTTTTTCGACTCTCGTGGGGTGGTGTATTGTGAGTACGCACTACGAGGCCAAACTATCGCAAAGGAGTACTACCAGGAGGTCCTTCATCGTCTTTCCGATGCTGTGCGACGCAAATGACTGGATCTGTGGTTGATCAAAACTTGGCAGCTCCATCGTGATAACGCATCTGCCCATTCTACGCATCTGATTCGGGCTTTTGTCGCCAAACACAACACTCCTGTGGTTTGTCACGCTCCGTACTCTCTCCACGTGGCTCCGTGTGACCTTTGGCTATTTCTCAAGCTGAAAATGCCGCTAAAAGGAACCCGATTTTAGTCGAGAGAAGACATCGTGCGGAATGCGACGGACCGGCTGATGGCCATTCCAAAAGATGCGTTCCAGGCAGTGTTTCCAGCAATGGCAGGAATGCTGGGAGAAGTGTATATACTACCAAGGAGACTACTTTGAAGGGGATTAGGGTTTTGTACCTCAAAATCAATAAATTTATTTTTGCTGACCAAAGGTTCGATACTTTTTGAACAGACCTCGTATATACAATTAAAATACATATGTCGATATGGCCGACAGCCACAGTTCTACGTGGTACGATCCAAAAGTTCGGGGACTGCAGTAATGTGTGACAACAAAAGCATGTATTTAAAGTTACAGCGTATGAAATGAATTCTATCAAACCACCCCTATGTGTTCAGGTTGATTTTGCCCATGTCACATGATTAAACAGCGAGTGCTGTTGTTTTTTTCGGAGATAGTTACTTTTGTTTTGCGACATAATAAAAATGGAGTTTCAAGAACAGCGCTGCATCATTAAATTTTGTCAGCGTTTAGGTAAAACATCTATGAAGACTTCAAAATTGCTAAGAAAGGTGTATGGTGATTCTACCATGGTGAAATCAAAGGTTTAAAGAGGGCCGAGAATCTATCGCAAATGATGAACGCTCTGGCCGACCTTTGACTTCACGGAACGAGGAAAATGTTGAGTTGGTCTCTCAATTATCTAGACATTTTATGTTGTTTGAGGGAATCCATTTGTCGTAAACGGCCGCAGATCTAGCGAAGTGGAGAGTGGTATCTTCTGCATGACAACGCACCTGCAAATCGGTCCCAAATGGTCACACAGTTTCTCGCCAAATCTCAAATTAATGTGCTTCCACACACCGGACTTATCTCAGTGTGATTTTTATTTGTTTCCATCAATGAAAAATCATTTGCAGGGACATCGTTTTGTGTCATCAGATGAGGTGAGAGCAGCATCGCAAGAGGCCTTACAGGAGGTTTGAAAAAATGGCTTCCAGCAGTGCTTCCAGAAGTTATATTAGCGCTGGCAAAAGTGTATCATTGCCCAAGGTGATTATTTTGAAGGTGGTTGTGCATCGGCAATATAAACTTTTTAAGGTAAGGAATTTTAAGCCAAGTCCCCGAACTTTTGGATCGTACTACGTATGTTTGGTTTAAGGTTGGTGATCTGATTAAATAATCAGATACCTTGTTATTATATGCATCTTATTGCTACTTTATTGAATCTTTTTGTTCCTTATTGAACTTATTATTTGTATTAAGTTCCTTATTATTATAATAAGATAAATTTGGTATACTGTTAAAGAGAAGTTACAATAGTGCTGACATCCTTTGTGCTGTATTGCCACATATTATTCTTCAGTATAATAAAGAAGGTTGATTAAGGATATGCATTATGTAATTTTTGGGGTGTATACGTGCAATGGTAATACAGAGCATTATGAGGTGGGATGATAGTTGAAAAGTATAAAAATAGTGTTCCGTAATTTATAAATGATGTCAATGCATCCAAAAGTACTATTGGTTTTGGAGCATCCCCAACATGGCTGAAGTAGTTATTGTAATTAATTGAATTAATCAATGCACCTTTAACAAAGGGTAAAGTTGGAGAAACGTTTGTTTTTGACCTGGTCAACAGGCAATTTTTAGATGTGGACAGATAAAAATGGAATCATTCTATTTTTAATTTGTCCATGCCTAGAGATGAAAAATACTAATATTTCTCTAACCTTACACCTTGTTAAAGGTAAATTACTTAATTCATCCTCAAAACATTGGTATTACACATTTATAAAGTGAACCAAACTAAACTTATGTACTTTGAGCTAGGCTAATATTTCTTTTTATAAAAATCACTTATAAAATAACTTCTTACATAAATTTTGTAATAATAAATTTTATTATTTTATGTTACCTAATGCCAATAAATAAAGATTGATATCTTTAGTCTTTTTTATATAAATCAATAATTAAATTTACACTAAAATTAATTGGTTCATTTATTATTTTATTTATTTAGGTCTAACAACAGTCACTCTGAGAGGTTATTCTTATCTAACATATCGCATTTATTATTGGAAAGATAGAGTGCAGTCAGAAGCAAATATGCTAAGTCTTTTATTTAGAGTAAATTGAGAAATTTTTAATTTAATAACTATTTAAAATTTAGTTCTTTATAAAAATATGCATTTTTATTACAGACATATGTTGCAGATTCGGTATTATTGTATGGAGCAGGTGAACATCCCGAATATAATTACATGGCTATAAGTATATTTAGAGGAAAATTGTATTTTGAAATTGATTTTGGTGATGGACCATTGAACACTACATTGGGTTATTTATTACATGATGAAATGTAAGAAAGTTTTTTATATTTATTTATTTTGATATGTTTATAAATCTTATAATGCTTTGCATTTTTTAATGACAATGATAATTAACCTCAGAGGAGACCAGCCTGCTGGAAACCCTGGGGTTACTGGCATGCCAGCTAAACTGTGACTAAAAAATAAAATTAATCATATCTAACAAAACTAGTTAAATAAATGTTAAAGAAAATATTTTTTCCAATATAATAAAATAATTTGTTTCTTTGCTACATAACCAGTTATACGAGTTTAACCAGTGTTTACTAATCTCCAACAAGCAACATCAGGTCTAACAGTAAAGTTGACAGTTTCACAATTTTAAAATAAAAACTGTCTTCTGTGAAGTCCATGCATGTTAAGTTAGGTTATACATCCCTCTCCAGAGGATGTATAACCTAACTTAACCGCATGCCATTTTCTATCATATGGTAATATCTGATTTCATGGTCTCCTTGGATAGACCAATATGTTGGACAATCCACAAAAATACAGTATAAAATATGAATTTATTATTCTTACTGCATACTTTGCAGATTTGATCATCTTTGGGACTGAATAAGTGCTTTATAAACTTTATGGTTTGTTTGCTTGATTGCAAGAGCTAATTTTTTCAAAGGAACTATAATCTGTTTCTGCTGTCTGCGTAGTGAATCATTTTTGTACTTGTACAGTTCACATAAGAAATATCAATCCACAATCCAATCATAGATGAGAGTGAGAAATTCAAATGTTTTAAATTTGAACTGTTTAACTCACATTGTTTTAATGTCCCACAAATGAACACATTTTACATTGCCACTGATTTCTAATTTTCTTCAAATTCTCAAAATCCTTTTAATTAAATGGATTAAAATTATTGTAAATGTCATATTTATTAATTTAATAATGTTAAATTTATACAATTTAAATTGTATAAATATAATGTTGAATTAAATGTAAGAGGTAATTTACATGTGTCTAGCAAATGGAATGGCTTATGACTCTGGTTGATTGCATTTTGTAGTGGTAGTCACTGAGCCACTGTACTTATATTGGGTCATGGTTATATTAAAGCCAAACAATTGCCGGATTAAATCGTTTCTAGACTGATATAATTAGGCAATCATTTGGCTTTAATATAAGAAGTATTTTCACTTTTTAATTGTCAACTGTAAAACATCATAACTCCACTATTAAGCAACATAATTAATTAAATAAGAACCATTGTGTTTGCCATACATATTCCAATTTAATACAAGTATTAATATTTTTATACTGAAAGCATAAAAATCTGGTGCTTTAGAAGCCATAAACTTACAAAAAGCATTTTTGACATTCTGTTGTCTGAAACATTTCTCCTTCAAGAAGACATGCAGAGTGACAGACGTGATATTCTGTTGGGGAAAGATTGGGTGAATTTGAGGGATGAAGCAAAACTTTCATGTTCATGCAATTTCTGCATCATTCTCTTTGTGATATGTGGTCTGGCATTATCATGCCAGAAGGATAGATGATGCCTTTCCTGTTGACCAATGCTGGTAACTGACTTTTAATTTTCACATAAAAAATGTTCAGTTCATTGATGTAAGAATCTGCTGTGATTATTTTATCTGGTCTGAGGAAGCCATAGTGGGTAACTCTCTGATGACCACCAAACTGTAACCATAGACTTCTTGGGATGTTGTAGTCTCAGTCACTATCTGATTCACAAAGGGTGTGACAGTCACTGGCATGTTGTTATATGTAAATATATTTAGATGTAGTTATTGTTTGTGGATATTTCTAGAACTTTCTGGTTTCTGTTTACTTTATTATCTAGACGGGCAATAAACTCAGTGATGTGGAGGGGAAGTGTTTACAGGTGTGAGATCCGAATAGCCCTGGGTCTAAATAACAATTTAAATCACAAATTTAAATTAATAACAAAAAATATTCTCTCATTTTGAGGGAAAAATAACGTTTTTCTAGTGTGGGAAAGCAGATAAGAGAGTCACTTCCTTTGACGGAAGTATGAGCATCCTCTGTTTTTCCCTTATCAGTTAAAAATCTCTCTACGATGGGAACTGTCTACCCCTCATTTCTTCCCCTTTCCATCCGTCCACGTGGGAGAATTCTAATATGATGATTGGTCATGAATAAGGAGATAAAGGCGAAGTTTAGCCAAATTTGGGGAGTTCGTCAACAGATCCCAGATGAGGAGGACGAAGTCCGAACAGACTCCAGAAGGCCAACGCCCTATGCTATAAGCTATACAGTATACAAAAGGCTTACTTCCATAGACACAAATATTCTCAGTTAAGTTGATCTCTCCATGAACAGAAGGCAGAAAACTCCAGGAGAGACGTAAATACGTCACATACAGAGGAAAAGAAGGACAACTAACAGGTTGTATGTTTTAATATGAAATTGTGAGCTCTCTCTCTCTCTCGACATATATATTTTAAGTCGAATTCATTGTGTCTCGTTTATTTGTAACTCCATCTTTGTATAGTTTTACTTATATATAGGTTAATTAAATTCCTTTTATTATTAGTTAATATAATGTCTCCACGATCTCTAAATCAGACCCCTCGCGCATGTTAATCCGCGTATCCAAATTTGATTAACTGGTGTTGGGACCTGACAAGATCTAGAATTCACCCTCTAGATCGTTTTTTTACGTTTAATCGCCCTCCTATAAAAAGTTAGAGAGCTCGATCTCACGATCGAGCGCCCATAAGCAGCGTGAACTTAGTTTACGTCCTTGGCTTCATACACAGGTATACAAAATAAAAATTTATGTAAAATTAAAGTTTTATGTAATATACAAAAATCCTTTGTGGCAAACGCCGCCCTTCACATCTGTACTTTTAATGGTTGTAAAATACAAGCAATTACCCCCGGGTGAATGAGTCATCACTCCTTGGAATAAATTCGAACTCACCCCACAAAGACCGTTGAAAACCAGTTGTCTTTGTTAGCCGCATCATCGAGACATGTGCTGTACCAAGTACGCGAGAATGACAATAAAAGTTTAGTTTTTGTTATGCTCTCGTCTCGTTCGTTTCTTCCACTCGCAGCGACAAAAGATAAAGGCAACAACAACCCAAAAACCACATTGGTGAGCCGGACTAAGAACATAATTCGACTAAGAACTACCATTGAAACCTTCATCAGGTACGCCGTAAAGGTGGAACTTATTAAACGATCCGGCAAATCGTCTCAACAGAAGTTACGAAAACTATTGGCCGGAGAACAGCTAGGAGATCGCAAATCCTCCGAACTACTACGTGTTCTAAAGTGTCAGGCAGAAAATTTTCAAATCCCGGATGCAGTTATACTAGAATTATTCATACAACACCTTCCGACTTCCGTCCAATCTATCCTAGCCGCCATTACCCCATTGGATGTAGACAAAGCAGAGGAGGTAGCGGACCGCGTGGTGGAAGTAACCCCCACAACGATAGCTTCAGTCGCAACCTGAGAAACCTGATACCATAACCAACAAAATACTAGTTGAAATAGATAAACTTAACAAGCGAATTGATCAACTAATGCAGGCACGTCGGTATCGCAGTGACTATTTTTCTCGATGCTCCCGCAGCAATTCAAGACATCGCAACAATTCATCTCACCACAGTATCAACAACTACTGCTGGTACCACAACCGTTCTGGCGCAAAGGCACAAAAATGTGCTCCTCCGTGTAGTTTTTCCAACAAACAAGAGCAGCGAAGCATAGAGGCGACATGCACTTTGCCGGAACAATCTCGTCGCCTGTTCATCCTAGACAAGAGAACGAACATAAACTTTCTCGTTGACACAGGTTCCAACGTATCAATATTTCTAGCCTCCTCGTCTCAAAAGAAGCGCGCATCTCAAATGACCTTGATGGCAGCAAACACAACTGCAATTCATGTCTACGACCAATGAACACTCACTCTCGATTTTGGGTTAAAGAAAATTTTTCGCTGGAAATTCCTTATTGGCAATGTGTCAACAGCAATAATAGGCGCAGATTTTTTGTATTATTTCCATTTGGTACTGAATCTTAGACGCAAATGTCTTACAGACGTTCAGACAAAGGTGAACTCTCCAGGCAAATTATTAGAAACCTTCATACACTCTATTAAGATAACGACCAACGACTCCATATATCATAAGATATTGGAAGAATTTCCTGAGATCACCAGACCTCCACGTCCTAATCAACCCGTAAAACACAACGTAGTACATCATATAGAAACGATTGGTCCACCTGTAACTTCGAAACCACGTCCCCTAGCACCCGATAGACTTAAAATTGCTAAGGCCGAATTCAATAAGATGATAGCTCTTGGCCATATGTGAACATCAAAAAGCAATTACACATCACCACTCCATATGGTCACCAAGAAAAACAGTTCGGATTGGCGACCCGTGGGAGATTATCATGCTTTAAATGCACATACCATAAAGGACAGATACAGCATTCCAAACATCGCAGATTTCACATCGGAACTGCACGGAACACAAATCTTCTCTCACATAGACTTAATCAAGGCCTATCATCAGATACCCATCTACCCACTGCACGTGCACAAAACAGCTATAACGACACAATTTGATCTTTTCGAGAGTACCAGGATGCAATTTGGATTGTGCAATGCATCCGCAACATTTCAAAGGTTCATCGATGAAGTAACCAGAGGACTCTCCTTCACATGTGCTTTCGTCAATGACATACTAATAGCATCACACTCCCAGGAAGAACACATCTCGCATCTTCGCACCTTATTCCAACGTCTCCAGGAATATGGGTTGACCATAAATCCATCAAAATGTACCTTCGGCCTACCATCAATCAAATTTCTCGGATTCAAGGTCTCGAAAAAGGGTCTGGAACCACTCCCTGATAGAGTCAGAGCCATCCGAGAATTTCCCAAACCTTCGTCTCTCACTCAACTTAGACGATTCTTAGGTATAATAAATTTCTACAGGAGATGCATCCCTCGAGCGGCACACATCCTCGCCCCGCTAGTGCAGCTACTAGAAGGAAAAAAGAACGAGAAACATACGTCACTCACTCGGAAAGCAGAATCACGATCTCTGCAATGGTCAGAAGCGGCAGAACAATCCTTTATATCAGCCAAGGAAGCACTGGCCAAAGCCACACTTCTTCAGCATCCAATACCCGGGGCTAAACTATGCATATGGGTATATGTGTCAGATGCAGCAGTTGGAGGAGCACTGATGCAATACAACAGGAAATGGGAACCCATTGCTTTTATCTCAGCAAAACTGGCACCAAACCAACGCAACTGATCAGCTTATGATAGAGAACTATTGGCAATATACACATCAATAAAACGATTTTGCCACATGTTAGAAGGCCGTGAATTCACGATCTACATGGATCAAAAACCGCTTATATACGCCTTCAAACAAAAACCAGATAAATGTTCACCACGACAAATGCGGCATCTCGATTTTATATCCCAATTCTCTACGGACATACGTCATATTCCGGGCACGGCCAACACAATAGCAGACGCTCTCTCCCGCATCGAGATAGATTCTATCACCTCTGCTTCCCTTCTAGACTTCCGAGAGCTAGCCACATCGCAAGCTACAGATTTGGAACTTCAACAATTGTTAAAGGATCCTATGTCGCTCAAATTAGATCTGAAATCTTTTCTACCTAACAAAATTGACCTATACTGTGACACATCATCCAGAATACCTCGCCCTTCATGCCGCATAATTTCTGACTAATCATACTCGATCACCTACATGGACTTTCTCATCCAGGAGCAACAGCAACAACCACTAAGCTAATTTCAAGCCGTTATGTTTGGCCGGGCATGCGGAAGGACATCCGTCAGTGGGCATGACATTGCATTCCCTGCCAGAAATCGAAAATTCACCGCCACACCTGGACACCAATAGGGAAGTTTACACTTCCGGAAGCAAGATTTTCCCATCTTCACATGGATCTGATAGGACCACTTCCGCCAGCTGACGGGAAACACTACTGCCTTACAGTGATCGACCGTTTTACCAGATGGTCAGAGGTCATCCCAATTGCCGACATATCTGCTGAGACAGTATGCCAAGCCTTTTTCTCAGGTTGGATCGCAAGATTCAGATGTCCTACTACCATCACCACTGATCAAGGATGTCAGTTCGAATCAAACCTCTTCCGAGAACTGACCAGACTTCTCAGCACCAATCACATCCATTCAGCAGCATACCATCCCCGATCAAACGGTTTAATAGAACGATTACATAGACACCTGAAGGCATCGCTAATGGCACACGAATCCTCCAAATGGACCGAAGCCCTTCTGGTAGTCCTCCTGGGAATTCGTTCAGCAATTAAAGCTGATATAGGCACAACAGCAGCCAAACTGTTATATGGTACTGCGTTAAAATTACCAGCCGCCATCATTAGCCCCAACACCCCACGAGTTCCTTGCAAATCATTTGTCAGTCAACTAAAAACCCACATGGCCAATCTGAAACCGTCAGCAACTTCCGCTCATTCCACACAGAAAATTTTCACTCATCCAGAGCTAAAGGAATGTACACATATTTTCTTAAGATTCGACGCAAATCAACCTCCTCTTCGCCAGCCTTACTCAGGCCCATACAAAGTGCTAGAAAAACACGACAAAACACTAGTAATTGACATCCAAGGTCGCAAATCAACTGTCTCCATTGACAGAGTAAAACCAGCATATCTCATACAGGACGAATCACCCCAGGAATCTATGGAATCTATTATCAAACCCATCCAGTCAAGTCCATCGCAGACACCACTGTCATCAGCAACAGCGAACAACAAAGAACTGGAAACTACCTCTAGAGAAAATCAAACTGTCATGACTAGATCAGGCCGTCACATTCATTTTCCTAAAAGACTAGTCACTATAATGTAACATTAAGTGACTCGTTCGACATCAATTCTATCGCTCGTCCCTCACTGGGGGATACTCTGTGGCGAACGCCACCCTTTACATCTGTACCCTTAACGGTTGTAAAATACAAGCAATTACCCCCGGGTGAATGAGTCATCACTTCCTGGAATAAATTCGAACTCACCCCACAAAGACTGTTGAAAACCAGTTGTCTTTGTTAGCCACGTCATCGAGACATGTATTGTACCAAGTACGCAAGAAGGACAATAAAAGTTTAGTTTTTGTTACGCTCTCGTCTCGTTCGTTTCTTCCACTCGCAGTGACGAAAGATAAAGGCAACAACAACCCAAAAACCACACCTTAATTGTAAACAGTTTCCAGAAGAAAGGAACCAATTTTAAGTTATGTTGGATTTTATATGCTCTGGTGTAAATGTGTGTGTAAGGGTGATTGGTGTATCAGGCATAATGGTTACATGCCAACTTATGAGTCCTTATGTCATAATTTTCATATCCATATTGTCATAATTTATATTGTCATATTGATCTTTTTCCCCTCCCACCTAAAATGTGTAACATAGTACTTTACTATGCTCCCTATATATGAAATTAATTTAAGTATAGAACATGTTAATAATCACATTAATATAATTTAATTAACAGTTTTAATAATGTTAAAAAGTATTACTTTTAATTATAAGATATACAATTAAGAATTATTATAGAATTATATCATTCTATTTTATATCAAAAATACTTAGGACTCAAACTTGAATTCCAGATGGCACAATGTTACTGTAATTCATCATGGAAAAGTAGTAAAAGTGATGCTTGATAATAGATACACAACTATATTAGAAGCAACTGGAGATCACCACCACTTACATTTGGATCCTGAAGTATACATTGGTGGTGCACCTCTAAATGCTAAAGGTTTGTTTAAAAAATTTTATTTACATTAAAATTTTTGGCTGTAATATGAAAATATATACTGTAGTTCAACAAGTTCTTATAAAAAAAAAGGAATCCTCTTTTTAGGTTATTTTATAAAGTTTTATTTTCCTCATATAGTTCAATTTCAATGAATTAGAAATTGATAATGGATGAGCATATACATATTATTATTAGAAAAAAAAAATACTCAAAGCAACAGAAAATTTACTATAGATCTTTACATGAGTTCATATGACATAACAACGGTACTTAAATACACACACTGATCTTTCTGTTAACCCAGTGCTCCTTGTGGTCAGATTTGTAATAAATAATACACATTTTAATCTTTACCTTACTTTACTTCAGTTAGAATATATTAAAAGTAATTTTGATGTAGAAACAGAAAATTGATATCTAATCAGCTCAATCAGATTGATAAAAACAGAAATACAATATCTGAAATTATTGTTAAACTTAATTATACTTTCTGTTCAAGTTCTGAATCTGTTTAGTCTGGATTTTTAAAGTTGTACGGTTTGCAGATTGTTATTATGTAATATCTGCAGATTGGTGCAGTAGGCTACATATCATACTCTTGGGTGCTGTTTTCCTATTCATCTTTATTGGGCAATATGCACACTTTTCTTTTGATATTGATGTTGCTTGTGGAGGATCTGGTTTCTTTCTCAACACTTCCAGGCTTTTCATACAGAAATCCTCACACTCATTGTCTGTGAACAAGGAGCTTACATCTTCTTCAGACACCTCATCAAGCCATTTCAGAAACATTTCATCACATTTTATAATAGTACATATATACAATATCACTTCCAATTAGAATCTTACTTCAAATGTGACAAAAAAGACACTGGATTACTTGAGGGTGAGCACTGCATAAACTTGTTGTTGAATACAACTGAAACAAAGGTGGTGCTGAAAGCATTAGCAGTGACTATTATTCCCAATTCTGGTATTGTGTTGAAGGGGATACTCAGAAAGAAAGTTAGATGAGGATTTTTCCACAACTTCCAAGACACTTGAGCTACAAGTTTTTTAAAATGAAAGGTGAGTGCAGTGCTCACTCTCGAATAACAGTGGGTTAACCAGCATGATTTTTTTTATATTGAGCACTCTGATATAAAACTACTGATTAATTAACAAATGTCTTCATCCAATCCATAATAAATTTGACTGGGGTGATGACAAAAATGAAAACTAACAACTAAGTTAAACAAGGACAAGTAGGTTCTTATTTCCCTCCTTGGTGCCCTCTTGTGGTATATTGCGACAAGGAAAATTACAACAGTGTAGTTTTAGTTAACTAAAACTAAAACTCAGGAATGTTACTGTTAACTCCTGCATAGAAATATGAGGGAAAAAAGGTGTCTTCTTTTGGGACTGTTTATAATAAATCTTCAGTTTTTCTCAATTCCAGGAGAGAGTGAAATTAAATTAAATTTATAATTATTAATATTGATATAAGATAGCATTCTGAACACCTACCTTTAGATACATTATAGTTAGTTAATTAAATTATTAGCCTAAATGTAGTCCAATAAATGTAGAAATTAGATATTTAGTTTAATTGATAGTAGTATTAGATTATTTTATTAATTATTAATATAGTTGTGACAATAAAATAAACAAAATTTATTAATATAAAAATTTGGCTAATACAAAAAAACAAACACAAAACATATTCATGAATTTATAATGCCAAGCTCAACACAAACTAATTAAACTAAGAGATTTTCTAACATCCAGTGTATAAGATCAATTTAGTCATATAACAAATAAATTAACTTTTTACATATGAATAAGCTCCCTGCCTATAAGTTTTGTGCTACTGATGGAGACCTCTTTCAGTAAAATACAGTAGACCCCCCTATAATGCGTAGATACGTTCCACGTTATACGAATTTCACGTTGTAGGAATCCTTAAATACATGAGCCAATTGCAGCCCGACACATGTGAAGTTTACGGACTACGGCTGTTTGAAAGGTTTTCTTCCATAAAATTAATCGATTCCTAGACTAATTCGACTCAATATTTCCAAAACATGTATAATTTTTTGGGAATAATCCATATAAACTATGCTATAAACAAAAAATGGTAGGATTATTTACTGAGTGTGCACCGTTCGACGTCACCATTGCTTAAGCTTGTTTTCGTCGTGGAGCAGCGCACCAAACAGCAGCCGCGATTTCTGATAAGTTATTTTTCTGCAAAAAATTTGTTGAACTTTGGAGACATCATTAATATAAATAATTTAAATGGCTGTTGAATAAGAAATGTTTCTTTCACAAGTAATGTATAAAATTACAGTACTATATTAGACTTACAGTACCTAATTTACATACTGTACAGATGATAGTAAACTCAACTTACCTGCCTAAACTCTCCGTAGCATGGCGCTAGACGGTGGAAAGTATATATATAATTATAATAAAGTTACAATAAATTAAGTTAATATATAATTATATATACAGTACCTAATTTATATATAATTAATATATAATTATATGTACAGTACCTAATTTATATATAATTCTGTACAGACGATAGTAAACTCAATTTACTCTCCGTAG